TGACATGCACCCGGTCGGGTGGACACTTGACCCGGTCGGGTACGTACCCGGCCCAAGGTGTTGAAAAACACCTATAAATAGCACACTTTTTATTCACAAATAATAATCCCTTCTAACATACTCTTAAGCTCAGTTTAGAATAGCATTTCTTTATATTTTTCTAGCTATGTTTAGTCTCCAAATGAGGAGCTAAACTTCCATTTCTTGGTGTTGCTCTTGAAGCTTGTTGATTATTAAAGTTGTGAGTTATTTTCTTAACTTCTTCCCTTGAATATTATTTCTTCCCTTAATCTATCTATATATTAATGTTGGGGAGTGTTGCTAAGATGACAATTAGTTAACATCTCGACATTAGTTATAGTAGTATTTATTTTCTTCCTCTATATATTAATGTTGGGGAATGTTGCTAAGATGACAATTAGTTAACATCTTGACAGTAGTTATAGTAGGATTTATCATCTTTAATATTATTCCTTGAATATTAATTAATTCCTATTCATATTTCATATTAATATTTTGAACATTACTTAATGGATCAACTAGTTTTGTTTCATATATTAATTATTACTAGAAACAATCGACGAACCAGTGGTTAATCGTTGATGGTTTCACAAGTAAGTAACTTCGGTTTATTAATACACGGTCGTGGTTAATAAACTTAAGAGGGATTAATTTTGTTGGTTAAACCGAAACTGTTGTGTTGAGGTTATCATTCTCAATTGATTTCATCAAGGAGTTAAGAGATTAAATGCTACTATCAAGTCGGTGTTCTATACCTGACTAATAGTAAGGGTTATTAATGAACGGTCGTTGTTAATAACTACCCTCGATGAATTGGATATACTCCTCGATTGAGTATTCGAGTGGGAATAAGTTATAGATATAACAATGATCGACTAAAACATATCAACAAGTGGAAAGTAGCAATGCCAAGTCCTTTTTATCTTTGAATTAAATCTCATATAAGTCGTTCATCTTAGTTTTTAATTAAATTAAATCATTCAACACCAAAACCCCCCTTTTTATTTACTAAGTTCATAAAAAGAAAATATTCCTTTCCCTGTGGATACGAACTCTACTACGATATACTACGTATAAGTGTTAGTATTGAATATTATTTTGACGCACTACGACAAAGTGCCCGTCAAATTTGGCGCCGTTGCCGGGGAAAGGCAATAATTTTCCTTTTTATTTTTATTTCAATAATATATATATATATATATATAAAGATTTCTATTTTTCTGAGCTTTGTTTGAGTATATGGTTAAACACCGATCTATAATCCAAATCATCTACCAAACAAACTCTGAAACAGAACAAGCCTTCGAGAGGTTTAGGAATTTATTTCCGAATACTTCTTCAGAGGAATCATCAAGCTCTAGTTCTCATTCTAGCGAGAACGAAGAGCCAATCACTATGGCTCAAGAAACAAGAACGTTGAGGGAGCTCACGGCTCCTAACTTAAATCAACAACCTCTATGTATCACCTTCCTCACTCTTGATGAAGGTGGTACATTTGAGCTCAAATGAGGCCTCATTCATATACTTCCTTCATTTCATGGCCTAAGAGGCGAGGATGCAAACAAACATCTTGAGGCGAGGATGAAACCGAATAATGTTACAGAAGAACAAATCAAGCTGAGGGCCTTTCCATTCTCTTTGAAGGACACAGCTAAGGATTGGCTATTCTATCTTCCCTCGGGAAGCATAGATACATGGGTGGCAATGAAGAAATGCTTCCTAGAAAGGTACTACCCCGCATCCATCTCATCATCTTTGAAAAAACAAATAAGCAACATCGATCAAAAAGATGATGAGTCCTTGTATGAATATTGGGAACGATTCAAAAAGTTGTGTGCTAGTTGCCCATACCATGGATACACGGAGCAAGACCTCATCCTCTACTTCTATGATGGTCTTGTGGATCATGATAGACACATGGTGAATACTGCTTGTGGAGGCGGCATTGTCTACAAAACTCCCTCAAAAGCAACAAGCTTGATCTCAGAGTTGGCCGAGAACTCTAGGCATTACAACGGGCAGTCCTCAACCCGTAAAGTTGTCGCGGCAGAATCATCTTGATCCTTGGAAAGTCAAATGGCCGGCTTGACCTCTTTGGTTAAGGATTTCCTTTTAAATCCTAGAAACCAAGAGGTCAAGGTCTGCGGCATATGCACACAGCAAGGGCATCCAACCGATTCTTGTCCAACTCTCCAAGAAGATCAAGTCAATACTTTGGGATTCCAAACTCATCAACAAAAGAGGTACGATCCACACTCTAACACTTACAACCCCGGGTGGAGAGATCACCCGAATTTGAGATATGGGAACCCTCAACCACAACAAAACCAACCCTTTCAACAATCCTTCCCAAATCACCAAGGCCAAACTTCAAACTCAAATATGTCCACCGAAGACATGATTCGAGCACTTGCTTCAAATATGTCAACGATGCAACAAAGTGTGGCTCAATTCCAAGAAACGAAAAAAATCTAGCATCCAAAATTTGGAAAATCAAATGAGCCAAATCTCAAGTGCTGTGAGCCGACTTGAGGCAAAAAACTCGGGTAAACTCTCATCTCAAACGGAGCAAAACCCGAGACAACATGTTAATGCAATCATGTTGAGGAATGAGATAACATTGAAAGAGATGCATGAGGAAGAAAAGCAAGCTAAAAATGGGGTTGATCTTGGAGAAGATTTTCAACCTGACGAGGAGGAACTAACGAAAACTAAATTCCCTCCACTTTCATCATATGAACTACTCCCTTCGTTCCCTGAGGCACAGAAGAACACAAGGAACCACTCTTTAAACAAATCAAAAGTGTTCCCCATTATGCAAAGTTTTTAAAAGAACTATGCACAATGAAAAGAAAAAATAAATTGAAGGCAAAACAAGAGGTAAAGGTTAGTGAACGTGTCTCAGCAATTTTCCAGAGGAAACTCCCGGAAAAATGCAACGACCCAGCCATGTTCACCATCCCATGCAAAATAAGGGACACTTTATTTCCTAGGACCTTGTTGGATTTAGGGGCTTCAATCAATGTTATTCCATATTCATTATACAAGTCCCTAAAACTTGGCCCTATGCATGAAATCGGGATAGTAATCCAATTGGCAGATAGGTCTAGCACATACCCAAAGGGTGTCGTGGAGGATGTGCTAGTAAAAGTTGAAAATTTGGTGTTCCCTTTTGATTTCTATATTCTTGAAATGGAAGTCGATAACCAAGCTACACTCATCCTTTTGGGAAGACCTTTCTTGAAAACTGCCCAAACAAAAATAGACATGTTTAATGGTTCATTAACGTTAGAGTTTGATGACCAAAAGGTAGAAGTCAACATCTTTGATTCTACGAAAAAACAATTTAAAGACCAATCTCTTTGTTCTCTAAATGTTTTTGAACCACAAACACCGAACGCATTTGTCGAAAAAGAAGCTAAGGAGATCTCACTTTTTAAAGAAAGAATTAAACAAGAAAAATCTATTTCGAAAGAAGAGTCACCTAAATGCGAAATTGAATCACCTGTGTTTGAGGTGGTAACAAAGAAGAAATCTAGGCCTTACTGGAAAAGACCGAAGAAAAAGAATGAAACAAGGGATGTTAACGATCCCACATAAAAAAAATAAAAAAATAAAAAATAAACGTCGTGCCACGACATTAAATAAGGTGCTTCTTGGGAGGCAACCCAAGTTTGTATTTTGTTTATTTTCATTTATTTTTTGTGTGTGTGAGAAAACCTTTTCAAAAAAAGGGTCTGGGGAATACACCCGGCCGGGTATCACACCATACCCGGTCGGGTTTAGCAAAAAATTTGGTTATACGGTCGGGTGTCTAAACTTACACGGCCGGGTATTCAAACCAGAGAGTTCTGGCTTTGCTAATACAGGACTACCTGACCGGGTAAAAGACCTCACCCGGCCGGGTCTACAAACCAGAAAGTTCTGCATCACTAAATACGGTACTACCTGACCGGGTAACCTAGCGTACCTGACCGGGTAGTCGGGTTTTTCAGCCTATACCAACTCGGGCAGACCACCCTTCTTCCCCATTTCACTTCCTTTCCTCCAAATTCCAAACTCATACTCCTTTTCCACCATTTTCAATCTCAAAAGTTTCAAATCCCACCATTTTCCCCACCAAATCAACCAAATAAACCCTTTTTTCGTCTCCTCATCACCCACATAACTACATACTACACTCACAAAAAAACCCCCAAATAACCAAATTTCCTGACCACACAAAAACCAATTCCGAAACTTCCTCAACATACAAATGACATCACAAACGGGTTCCTCTTCAGGATATCCGGAGATGAGCACTAGGGACATTGCTTTCTGGTCTGGTCTGGTTTCTTTGTATTTTTATAACTATCCAAGTTTGGTCTGGTCTGGTCTGGTCTGGTCTGGTCTAGTCTGGTCTGGTCTGGTCTGATCTGGGACGAATTACAGTCCAAGTAAAAACATCCTTAGTTCCATTCTATTTTTTATGTCTTATTTGTTGACATTGGTTGCAAAATCATGTCTTGAACTTAATTGTTTTTTTTTATTTTGTCGTGGACTTGTGCAATTATGAATTATTTCTTTATGCAATAATGAGATTTGCTACTTTAAAATGTGTATACTTTTATATCTTTTTACTTTATATGTTATTTTGTGAAGTATATAATTTAAATATTCAAAATAATACCCCGTATTTTTTGTCCGAATTTTGGTAACATATACCGCATTATACACGTATACGTATTTACACGTTTTTTAAAAGTCAACGTTTTTTCCAACGAATTTTTGACCATTTTTTCAGTAATGTTACCGAATAAAACGCGTACGTATTAAATCTCGTTTAATTCCCGTACCGTATTTAACTAACTATGAGATACGGCATCCCATTTTTTAAATGAGTACTGGAGTTGTCACCGAATTTCAATTGGAATAGAATTTTACGTATTAAAAATACACATGCATATGTCCCCGTACATAGCTTTAATTTAACCCTAGACTAGACTCCCTCCGCCCACTTTAGCTTTAATTAACGTAACCCCGAGTAGTTTATTTCCTCCGCCGCGATATATATTCGATCGCCTGCATCTATTTAATTTTTAGTAATAAATTTTTGTAAGAGATCGAAGAAAGAGAGATGGCAAGAATTGGGACGGCTTTATTGGGGGGTTGCCTGCCTTGGTCGGCGGGAATCGGCGGCGGTGTGCATAGACAACCACCGCCGCGACCTAGGGTTCAGGCGCAGCCTTTAAAAGCTGCGGCAGCAATAATCCCCAAAGTGAAGTCGATTCGCTGCAGCCGTGTCTCTCCACCGGGTGTTACCAAAGAGGAGGAGGAGGCCATGCTTAGCCCGAGGCAGTTTTCCTTCTTCGGGGTCGATATGGTCGACAAGGATGCGCTCGCTTATACGAAGCTCAAGCCAAAGGGATTTCTGGTTGCGGGTGGCCATTTAATGATTACCGACCTAAGTGGTGAGTACATTATACTGCTATCTCCTTCATGCTAACATTTTTGTAACATTCTATTACTACTTTGGTCATAGCTTAGTAACATTATACTCCCAGTAACATTGAGATATTCTATTACTACATCATTGACAAATGAGAATGTGATATTTTTATGAAGAAAATTGATTTTATGTAGTTAATATTAATTAAATTAATAAAGTAAGAATATCTATGAGAGGATCTAAGCTAGGTGAACTGTGTGGGCCCCTACTTCCCTGTACGCACATAACTTCACCAAAAACCTTTTTTTAGTCAAATTGCATGAGTAACATACTATTCCACTTTGTCAACTTTCTTTTTTTGTTTCAAAAAGTTTTGTCTCTTTCTGAATAAAGTAACTATTTTGTTGTTCTGCTCATTTCTATCTCTTCTGCACAAACTTCAACCACACAATTTTTACTATTCTTATTTCTCGCCTAATTCGAAGAGTGCAAAATCCATTGGGATGCATGTAGTGTTTCTTCTCTTTTAATTTTTACATAATGCCATGCACTTTTACCGTATGCATACTCTTTTGATCAAGTTTTACTTAGCTTATTGATGTATAAACACTTGTACTACAGAAAATATCATTAAATTCCACTCAAAAAAAGAATCCAAATTTTGTTTTTTTATTACGGAGTATCGTTTTTACATCTTACGGAATAATAGATGAATAATAAATACCTTTCATTTGTTAACATGCTAATTCATAATGTTGCACAAAATAAGATAGAACGGACATACCCATATATATGAGTTTGTAAGTGATGCAATTAATTCGTGTTAAGTTACAGCATCTTTCGATCTACAACATCCCAGCTATGGTATGTTTAAACTAGGCTTTTGTTATACGTAGTATATACCTAGTATTAAAAACTACATCTTTGCTTACTCAAACTACGTAATGAATACGGAGTACAAGTTAAATGGATTTCCTTTCGTGCATATTACTTTCGTCCCTTAAAACTTTATCTATATTTAACTTTTCAAATCAATAGTGGTAAAATTTGAACCATTATTTTAATATATACTCCGTAGTACATAGTATAATATTATGAAAGTTACAAGTTTTAAACTTTTTATTAGAGTACTTTTAACGTAGAACTTTTTCATGTATCAATTTTATTTTATAAGTAATTTTGTACTACCACATATTTTTAGTATAATTGGTCAAATATGAGCATGATTGATCCAAAAATTCAAAGATGACAAAGTTTGAAGGGACAAAAGAAGTATACATTTGCATATAAATTAAATGGATCTCCTTCTGTACATACATTTAATAATTATATTAACAAATAGTTAGTAAATTATCCATAACTACGCATATTATAAGTTAAATGTAATGGATCTCCTTTTGCATCTCAGTTTAATCCCAACTATGTAATTGGTTATCTACTTCACTAATTAAAGTTTCAAATCCATTTTTAAATGTGAAAGTATTTAAATATATAGATTGTCCGTTGTTAAAATACGCTTGGAAATTTGAGAATGGCAATTTTTCCAAGAGAAAGCTAGCGCATCAATCTTACAAGAAATGTGAAACTAAGTATGATATCGATCATAGTGTTTCTCAAGAATGAGTATAAAGTTATATATGCTTAGATTGATACTCCGTATTAGAATTGAGATTCATCTCATAACTAACTTGATGAATTAATATATGTACGCGCAGATTGCATAGAGACATTATTGGAGAATGAAGACCGTTGGATTCACACTTGCTACTCGGTGACTTACCAAACATTACACTCGTATAATCCTAGTACCTCCGTCCTGAAAAGGTTTGTCAGATTGATTTTTCTTGGTCATGATGACAAACTTTGGACAATGATTTTAATTATTATATTTGTATATAATTTATAAATTTTATACTTTTATGAAAATATTTTGAATAAGGAATAATTTGATATAATTTTCATATTCAAAATAATTTCGTATTATAGTTGATTGTCAAATATCATTGATCAAAGTTGATTGTCATTTACCAAGAAAAGGCAATTTGACAAACCTTTTTCGGGATGGATGGAGTATATTATTCCCTCATTTGGTTATGACCCAATTTTAGCCTCTCCAAACATTTATACGTGGTGTAAAAAATTATGTGACTTAGTTAAAACAGACGTCTTGACCGTCCTAATCAAGGCCCTAACCCTCTTCAAATTTAAAAATTGTCCTAATTATAATGTAAACGATTTCGTGTATAAGAATTTCAAAAAATATTTTTGTATGGTCTAGTGCTCTGGCACTGTGATTGCTCTAAAAGTATTGATTCTATGTTACCCATAAGGTACCATACCTTTGTCCACGTGGATCATTGAGAATGTAGCAGTTGAATTATTTAAATCTAAATTAAAAATGATAAAGTAATGTGGTCTAATCAAATAATTGATAGGTACGATACCCCATTTTTTAGAAAGGTACAGGAGTTGTCACCTTTATCTAATTAACATGCATGCATGCTTGCATTGATGGGTGTGTTTCTAATACATGTGGACTATGCTAGGAATACCCAACCTCAGGATTCGGAAAAGCTTTTGATTGGTTGTTTGACTTCGAGAATGGTCCTTTTATGAAACCTACGAAGGAAAAATCTAAGAACATTGTCAGATGTACTCAGGTATAGTATGTACTGTGCCTTTTCTTCTTCTTCGTTCTTACGTTTTGGCTCATAAATTGCAGCACTAACATTTAAATCCTACATAGATGAACTAACTAACATTGGCTCATAATCACGTTATACTAATTTATTCTATTGTACTCACTTCGTTCCTGTTTAATTAGTTGTATACGTATTAAGAAAGTGTGTTGTTTGGCACTATTTGGACACTATCTGACATTGTTTTGCTCTGTTTTGCACTATTCAGTCAGATGCACTACATTTGTGTGTTGAACATAATTAAATATTTTTAATTAATTAGTTGAAGCTCATAGCGTGATGCGTTATTACGTAATATATTATTAGAGAGATTTCCAATTTTAATCTCATAATTTTTAGTTGTCTATATTATTATAATTAAGAATGTCATTTTTTCGTTTGTATCATTACGTTTTCTTCATAGAAATTTTTTTCTGATAGTTTGTTACCTAGAGTCTAGCTAGCTAGCTGCCTTGATATGTGCACACACAAAAATGTATACGTAGTAATAAGTATTTTAATGTAACATACTCCCGCTATTCTGTAAAACTTGATAAAACAAATTGATTTTAATGTAAATTAATAAAGTAAAAAATATGATTTATACAAATTGTGAAAATATCTAATTGTTTTCTGGGGGCGGCGGCTATGGATGACCTAGCAGATTTTTTTTGTGTCCTGCTTTGATGGGCCGGTGGCGGAGGCAAATATCAAAACTCGTGAAGATTTCAAAAAATTTCTGTTGCAGCTTATTGCACGACAACGTTGTTTTGAGGTATTGATCGGTATATATTCTAGAATTTAATTGTTGCCCATATTTTTTAGAATAATTCTAAAAGATACATGAATTATCAATCCATGACTTGAAAGATGAAATGTATCGAATGATGGGAAACTAACAATTTAGGATCTGAATGATTCAAAACTATCAATCTAGCTAGGACTAAAGTCATCATGAATTTATTATTTTTTTATTTTAAAAATTTTAAAAATTATTTAGTTTTATTAAACTAATAAAATTTTGTGAAGAAAAGTTTATCAAAAATTAACAATGGAATGAATAAAAAATTAAATAAATCAAAACATGTGGAATGTTAGGTCCTAGATTTATAGTTTTCAACCAATCATGTCATTTACCGATACATTTTATATATTGAATCTCAGATTGATAATTCATCTAATTTTTGGATCGTGATTTGATAACAATCCTTGAAAAAAATGCAGTAACCATATTCTTATTATTAATCGATCTCCTACTTTACTGGATGCATGCATACAGTCTAAAGAGACGGTGAAGGCAGTTTGCTCCTCTATCATGGTGGATGCAGAGTCGCTAAAGACAGTTTTAAATCTTCACTCAATAATCTAATATATATATATATATATATATATATATATATATATATATATATATATATATATATATATATATATATATATATATATATATACTCCAAAGTTAGATCTCACCAGCAGCTATTTCATAGTCTCACAAAGTTAGATCTTTTAGCATTTATCACCGAGTACAGTTAGAGAGTGGTGGTGTTTATTTTTTTTGTTTGTTTGTTTGGGTTATGTGCCGATGAAAATCTACTTAAATGTCAATCACTTTAATTTTCGACCAATGACCTTTGAGACTTGAATTTGTTATTCTTTATTACGGAGTATAAATTTATACTCCATATATGTTATTGATGTCCCTATGCAAAGATTATGGTTTAAATTGCACGCATATTAAGGAAATTATTTCTCTGTGGATTTTCTTAAATGTTCCATCTTTTAAGAGATAAAATTTACTGTAGAATATACCTTTTAGTATTGTTTGACATCAATGTTCTAAAAGGCGTTAGGCGCTAGTCGATCGGACGTCAGCCCAGCGCTTAGGCGGGGACTAGTCAGAGACATAGAAATTACATTTTTATCTATATTTTTGCGTAAATATGATAAGTTGTATTGAAATTTTGTGTGTATAAAATATATATACATATACATTAACAAACATTAATAACAGAATTATCACATTTAATCATACGTAGTATATGATAACTAATCAGTTAACTTCATTATGTTATAAATATAAATAATGATAAAATGTGGGTATATGTACAAATATGAGCCGCATCTCTATGGTACGCTTGAGAAAATCCAAATCGATGGTGTTAGGGTTTTGGATTTCTGATCGATGAGGGCGGTGACGGGATGTTGGGGAGATGTCACGACGTTTAACATATAACTGCCGGGGAGAAGGAGTAGGTGGTGGTGGGTCGCAGGGACAGTGGCGGTGAGGGCTTGGGGGAGTTTGTGGAGCGGGATGGGGTTTAGGAGGGGTAGGGCAGGCTATGGTTCGGCTAGTGGGGTTGTCACTGGTGATGTTAAGGTGGTGGGTGGCGGCTTCCGATGGTGGGCGGCTGTGGGAGGCGAACACAATTGAAAGCTAGGTCACGAACTTTATCGACTAAAAATAAGTCACTACAGCGCCGAGGTGTTGGTCACGGTGCCCGAGTGGTGGTCACTGCAGTCGTGGGGATTCGTGGGTGTTGGTCATTGGGGTCTGGGACGGTTTTGTAATGTGACCGACGGTTGTAACTGGGCAGGAGTCACTGTTTCATTTGGTCACCGGGCGGAAGTCACTGACTCAATTGATCAATGGACAGAAGTAACTACTGTATCAATTGGTCATTGCACAGAAGTCACTTTGTCAATTGGTCACTGGACGGAAGTCACTGTGACAATTGGTCACTGTAGCGGGTCAATTTGTTTAATAAAGGTAAAATGGTCCCTTTATTCATTTTTAGTCACATTTTTGGAAATTAAAACAAAAGATTGTTAGATTATTGGACTCATACTACATGTATTATTCACAGTATATTATTTATTGGGTTTAATTGTATGTTATATACTATCTTATATTTAGGCCCAAAAATTAGTGGTCTCATGGATATTAATTTAAGTGGCTAATAAGGTATAGGGCTCAAATGTGTAGAGACCCATGGGCTTAACATAATCAATGATGGGCTGATTAGGGTTAAGCAGTCTCTATAAATAAGGAGTTATGGTCCCTAGTTGAACACGTCATTCCGTCTTTCTGCATATCATCGCTACAGAGATAATCCCGAGGGTGTGTATCAACTAGAAGACGCAAACTCTAGCCTCCGTCTCCCGGATCTCTAAAGGTGATCTCCCATGGAGTTAGGTACGCTTCCGCTCAGTTAATTCTCTAGATAATTTCAGTATGATGATTAAAGTATTCATGAATTTATTCCAACAAAGATCACTTTTTTGTCCATTCTCTATTTTTTAGTAATATTAATGGCAAAACCCCATTAATAATCAAATAGAAAGAGGCAGTCAAATTGGTGGATCCAAAATTTGAGGATCACCTAACTTCTCAAGCAACTCTCCACTTCTGTTTTATTAGATGGCATGATTTCCGATACGCATTTCTGCTCCAAATGCTCTTCACGTACGAAACAAACCAAAATACCATGTTGAATACTTTGTGATGATAGAAGATACGCACACCTCCCGTTGATACTCCTGTAACCATTTCTTTTCAAGTTACTTGGTCAAGACTCAAGAGCCTTTATTTCAGCTGTTCCTATCAACTTTAATTACAATTTGACAACGGTCAAAGTGTTTTTGTCAAACAAGCAGAAGGACCGAAATAGAAGTTAGATTACGGAGTATCTTGAGAGCAAGTTGTTCATTCCCGCTAGAGTAGCTATCGAGATACGGGTTTATCTTTTTCCAAAGTCAGTCCAGTTTACTAGCGATTATACGCTAAGTCTTTCTTTTTTTACTTTTTATATTAATATGTTATATCTAATTATTGTTATTGTTTTATTTGTTCTTGCATTTGATAATTTATCTGATGATTTGTGATTAAACTGGGGATTTTATCTGACTAAACTCGCCATTTAAGTAGGAGTATCAGTTTTCTATCATGTTTCAGAACTTCACAAGATTATGACCTAATTGCAACTACTCATATCTAGGAGCGGACTCAGCCCAAGAGTTCGGTCCGTTTTAGTCCGGCTCAGTTTGGGACCAACCCAGAGCCAGAAAAATTTGATTCGATCTCAGGACCGGCCTGAGTCCACCCAAACATGTTACCCTGTTCTGATTCACATACTTTGAGACCGAACCGAACAATTCTAATCCCTATTGCAGTCCAAAATCGGATATTTTTTTAGGCATGGAAACGGGGGGGATAGAATGGGACTGGGTCCAGACCGGGATCGGACCACCCAAGTACTCGAAACCTGGGCTCTCTTGCCAAAAACCGCGATCAGCCGATCCTAGACAAGAATCGAGGTCGGATCCACCCCTACTCATATCTAGGGATGGACTGGGCCGGGCCGAACCGGCCCGGAACCGGACCAGGTCCGGTTGGCCGGTTCCGGGCTTTTAGCCCGTGTGGACGGGTCAGGCGGGCCGGGCTCAGGCCCAGTTTTGGGCGAACCGGCCCGGGCGGTTCGGCCCGGGCCTGGGTCAATTTTTTTTTTTAATTTTTTTTCTTTTCCTAGGGTTGGGCTGGGTGTTTTGGGGAGGTTTGGGGGGTGGGGTGAGGGGGGGGGGTCGGGGGATAACAAGAAAGCAAAAAAAAATTAAGTATTGAACCGGGCTCGGCCCGGCCCGGTTAGGCCCGGACCCGGTAGCAACCCGGGCTGGTTCCGGGCCCAAGGAATTGCAAAAAAAGCCCGTCCGGGCCCGGACCAGAACCGGAACCGGCCCGGCCCGGGTCCATCCATACTCATATCATGTATGAATCACAATTCTAAAAATCAAGATTCTCCATTTGTGTATATAGGATTGATATTATTTGCAATTTAATTACATTTTCAGACAATCATGATCTTGAGTTTTTATTCTATAACTCAAAGTACACATTTAATTAGTTTGAAAGGAGATATTAAGGGAAAAAATTAAACAAAATAGAATGGTAGAAGAGAAAAATAATCTAAAAGAATGAATGTAGAGACTCATGTTATTGGTACTTGGGTGTGATAAACTAAATAGTTTGAATATGTGGATATATTTATGAGTTATACTGCATATAATGTTTCTTGTAACTTAGAATGTTTTTACTGGCATTTATTTCAGTCTAAGAACAGCCCACACTAGACCAGATTAGATCAAACTAAAAAATTTCAGTCTAATTAAAAACAACTATACAAATGCATTTAATGCAAAAATAAAAGGGAAACATTATTCGAAGAGGATTCTCCCTTCCATATATATAGGATATGATTATATATTCCATATAATTGTAACGGTTCCTAAACTTCAGGTCAAGGTTCTCCCTACATATATCCTTACCTATTAGGATGTTTTTACTTAGACTTTTTTTTTCTCATACCAACTCAGACAAAACCATGTTTGCATAGTTATAAAGTACACAGAGATCAAACATTTTTAAACCAGACCAGAAGATTTCAGACTAAGTAAAAACTTCCTTACATATCAAGTATCATCCAAGTACAGGAGTAAGGCTCCATTTGTACATGAATCAAACATTATAATATTGTTCAGGTAAATAAATCAAGAACATTTTCTGCTAAAAACAATTTCAGGTGAAACATTTTCATCAGAAAAATAAGATCCATAACAAGTCAGGTTGCCCAAAACTAATGATAGAATATTCTCAAGCTCTTAGGCCATTTGGAGTGATGTAGTATTAGACTATTAGGAGTCCAAAATGTTAAAGATGTAATTTTTGGATTCCTAATTTTATATAGTGGTAGGCTAAATAAGGTATTAAAAGTGAGAAAGAGGATGAAGGGTGTTAGAAATAGAGAGTAAGTAGGTAGGAGTGGGAAAAAAAGAAATAGGGAAGGGAATGACAGAGTGCATTGTATGGATGTGGGGATGAGGTCATCCCTACATCTTATAATCCCAAAAAAAATTAAACTCTTATAATTTTTTTATTTGTTTTCCAAATTTTTTAAAACATGTATCAAAATTAATGATTTTTTATTATCTTTCAAATGACATAAATATATAATATATAAAATGAAGAAAAAAATCGGAAGTTTTAACTATTAAAGTTTTCTTGAGCCTGAAAAAACACAAAACACAAACTTTTATTTCATGAAGCCTCTACAAATAACTGAATATTCTATAATAAAACTTTACTTGGACTAAATTCATTTTTTTGCTAACCAAAAAACGTAAAAAAATAATGAAATTTATTTATTTTTACATTGAAATATGTATTTTTATTTCATACTTATTTAGGGAAAAAAATTAAATTGAAAATATTGCTTATAATAATTTAATTAATGTTTTACTAAATTGATGTGTGAAAAAATATGTTGAGTGTTTTTTTGACGGTACTGGATTGCAAGAAATAGGAATCTAAATTCTAAACATCGTTTTCACATGGACAGAGTCCATTTTTAACTTTTTAGCCTCCTAACCACTACAAATGGTTTTATTAAAGGTTACCTACTTACCTGCACAGGTAGCTCAGTTGGTCGAGTGGTGGGAAAATTGGACCAAGTGATCAAGGTTGAAAACCCGCAACGGCCGTGTGAAGGTTACATAACCTGAAATAAGACCTCTGGTGCGCACGTGTATAAGGCCTACCGCCGCTTTACTGAATGAGTCACCGTGATTAACCTCCCCACCATCCTGTCAAGTCGGAGTAGGGAGGCCTTGGGGTTGGGCATTCAACCTTTTGGACCAAATGGTTTTATTAAAGGTCAACTAATCAGAAGCGCCATAAATGAGTATAGATGATGAGCCTATTGAAATTTATGAAGTTCTGGCTGAAGTGACTATAGTGGTTGATTTTGTTGGTTTAAGAAAAGTTGTTTTTAAAATATACTATCGTATTTTATTAAGAAAATAAAGAAAAAATTATATGTAAAAATAGCTAAAATGATCGTCTACCGTAACTTCAGCCAATACAGCTAGAAAAATTACTTCAACATTACTTTTTCTGCTTATTACACAATTCAGCGCGCGAAAGCAAAAGTTACGTGTTTGATGGAAAAGTTGAGCCTGATAAGCCGAAAAATAGTATTGCCAAACTGTCTGGATGAGTAAAACATAGTGAAGACTGAATTCCACGTATAACAGAACTGAGAGCTTGCCGTCACCCATACATCAAGAATGCAAATTTTAACAGAAAATAAAAAAGCCAAGAAAAGGATTTTAAACAAAAAGTAAAACAAAAACCAGGTGAATTTGTTTGTTAACGTGGTGATGGAAGAATCTTTCCTGAGCATGTTCCAAAACCTATCTTGTAGCCATCTCCCTGTCATCAATAACACGAGAAAATAAGCTCAACACACCGATCTCTACTACAACAAGTGTTATCAAAAGTAAGCATACAAAGGATAGAGAGTTCTATGAAAAGTACGTTGACCAACCAGAGATCACCAGACTAAAAAGAATAAAGCAAAACAAAATGAGACCAGCACAAATCAGAACTATATACACCTATATTACATTACTTTTATTGTTACGAGAATAAGACGAGTAATTTTTATGACAAGAGTAATAGAATGGAAACCTTGCAGTAACCAGTGAGAACAACTTCATCCCCATCCTCTAGGAAGGTTCGAGTCACTCCACCTAAAGACATAGGCTTCTGTCCATTCCAAGTTAACTCTAGCAAGCAACCATGAGACTCTGGTTCCTGTAGAGAAAAAGTCGAGCATCATGTCAGTTCAGCAAACGAAGTAACATTTACTTAGTTCAGAAAGCAAATAAGAAAATTCAGACTGATAAGGAAGAATAAAGGTAATTATAGTTCTTAAAGAGAATCACACTGTGATTGTTTTAACTAAAATTGCTTACTGGTCCACTGATAGTTCCAGATCCAAGAAGGTCACCGGGTCGTAAGTTGCAACCATTGACAGTATGGTGCGCAAGTTGTTGTGTTACGGTCCAATACCTGTGTACCAAAATGAGAATGTATCATGAGACAATTAGAAAAAGATAATTGCTATAGCAGCTCATGGGACAATGACTATTAAGACCCACTAAGAGTCTTTGACCAATATGTCATGCCAATATGTCATGCAACTTTTGAGGAGCTGAAAAACATTCCTTTTGATACTGTTACCAGGATTTGAAGGGAGGTGCTGTTTTTCATTTTAAAAAAATGTGCTTTAGCGTGATAACTTTCAAAATAAAGATACTAATCATGAACTAGTTTTAATTGAATGAGTAGGTTAGTTTAATTCAATAATTTCAATGCCCTGGTTATTTATTTTACAATAAACAATATAGAATTATTTTCTTTAAAATTTGAAGCAACCCTTCCACTCTTTTCCCCCACCCCACCCCCCAAACCCAGCTCTCGGACATACTCTTAGGGTCATCAGCTTGGATGAAAGGTTTTGGAGGGCTAAGGGTAAATCGTGATGCATATTTGCCATTTTGAAAAATTGAAAAAATAGCAAATTAGGGAATTATGTTGTGCACTTGTGCTTGTTGATTTTAGCAATCATTGTTGATGATGCGTCTGTTAATTTAATTAACAATTATTTAGGACAATTATTCATTAACATATGAAGATTACTCATGTCTAGACAATATATATCATCATCAAAATTCTTTAAAACTTCATGGTCAAAGTGATAGTACTAGCTACATTTTTTTTTGAAGGAAAATAGTACTAGCTACATAATATGACATATAACAAATTAATGAGAAGTATAGGGGTTACACTACTTACAGGTGCTTGAAATTGCTTCTTGTGACAGTACATGAATCTTCTTGCCCAGCAGGTTTAATGTGAACCTTGCATAAAAATTGGACGATAATTCTTAGACTGGATAAGTTACTCCATTTTCACTTTCACCTAGACATATGGTTTAGTACTTCAGTAGAAGAGACGAGGGAAAAAGTTTTGGGCCTTTCTTTAATTTCTATAAAAAAACATGAATACATGGCGTAAAATATCTTTCTTTCTGTAGCATACGAAAATGAAAAGTAATCACAATACGGAACCCAGAGCTAAGATTACCTCCAAAGAAATATCATAGTTTTTGGATATCTTCTCCGTCAGATATGGTAGAGGGGGAGGATCCTGCAAAAATATTTAAAAGGATTCCTCCAGCTATTAGGCTCTCCTGGAAACTGTTTCCCATTCATTAATCCCTAAGGTCTACTTGGAACCAAGAAAATACTAAGGGATAAAAAAAGAAAATAGAGAGGAGAGTGAGAGGGAAAAACAAGTGGCGGGAGGGGGGTAAGCTCAAACTCAACACAGTTGTTATAGATATTTGTTTATGGTCATTTTATTTATGTAGTTTACTATTTTATTATATTATGAAAAAATGAAAATTACTAATCATGCTTCATTTCTTTTGTATTTTACAAGGTCAAACCAAATATATTATCATCATTATCATCATTACCCCAGTGCCGCAAAGGCTCCCACCTATGGTGGGGTAAGGGGGGGTCGGATGTACGCAGTCTTACCCCTGTACTAAAGCACAGAGAGACTGTTTCCGAATGACCCGTAGTGAAAATCGCGTCAAAAATTGCATAGGCTGATCGTTACTTCATAACAAAGAAGGGCAGACAGTTTAGTGAGCCATTTTGCTTTATTCCATCGTATTTCTAAGCCAAAAGATAGTGAGTCTTTGGCTCTATTGAAAATGGTGGAAAACAAGGTCAAACCAAATAAATTAATTAATCCCATAGGCAATTATTCCCTTTGTTGTTCCTTCTCAAGATTCTAACATACCCTAACAGAAAGGAAAACATTGAGCTACCTGCTTTGGAGCATCACAGGAAAAGGGTTCTAGGGCATCTAAGGTCACGATCCAAGGTGACAATGTCGTTCCTGATACAACCCCAAATTAAATCACATAAAACTTAATGCACTACAGCAAAATACACACACATACAGAGAGAAAGAGAGAGCACAGTCCACCAACATATGTAATTTAGAAGCTTTTAATCGTTAGAGAAAGTCAAGGCATGGAGATAAAAAGCATCAAGATTTCGTACCAAAACTTTTCCCAAGGAAAGGACCAAGAGGCACATATTCCCAAGCTTGGATATCTCTTGCTGTTGACACCAATTCATATCAGTGTGGTACTAGAGGTAAGAATAGAAAAACATGAGAATGAAAATATGATTCAATTACAATAATTAAGGCATACCGCTCCAATCATTCATTAAGACAAGCCCAAAAATATGGTCCCTGGCCTCTTCAATGCTCACAGGCTTCCCCAGTGCATTTCCAGGGCCAACTACAGCAGCCTATGAGTAAGAATAAGCAAATAACTAAATTAGATTATAAATTTATTCCCAAAGAGTAGTCGATAACTAGATACTACATCCGTTTTCTTTTAAGCGCAACACATCCTTTGTCACATTTGCCAACATACAACTTTGACCATTAATATTTTTAATTCCCAATTAGTAAAAAAATTAAACAAAAATGTAGTCATTTTTTGAAAATTTACAATGAGACAAATTTAACAATAATTTTCGAGGAAAAAATTTGATCTATTAATAAATAAAACGTAGTCAAAGTAATTTTTTGTAAATAGTGTAAATTCAACATGTTGCACTATTTAAGAACGGAGGTAGTATAATATAACTGATGATGATGATGGTGATGAAAATGATGAAATGTGTACTTTAACAGATACAACTTTAATTATAGCTCCAGAGATGATATTACCATTTCCAGCTCAAAGTCCAGCTTCCGAGAAGGTCCAAAATAAGCGGCAGAGTCACCTGTAGGATGACCTTGACCCCTGGATCAAATGAAGGATTAGATTTAGGATAAAAACAAGATTGTCTCTTATTTGGAAAAAAAATACAAATTGAAAAAAAAAACTTATACTTCACAGGGATAACTCTCCATATCAGCCCGCCAGTTTTCCACGAAGTTGCTCTATTAGTCCTTCGGAACCCTAATGAAGGAGGACTAAAAGAGTCACCTCAAAAAAAACTGGGGGATTAAAAAAGTCACCTCGAGGAAAACTGAGGGCCTAAAAAGGCCTCCTTAAAAAGAATTGAGGGACTGGCCTTTCACCCTGAACATGAATAACATATTCAGAGTTGTTGACCAAATAGGCTATATATATATATATATATATATATATATATATATATATATATATATATATATATATATATATATATATATATATACTCCAGGACTGTCAATAAGAACCTTTCATTAAAGAAGACCTGCATTTACGCTCAAAAGGGAAGGGAACCTTGAAGGGTTTAGGTTATAAAGACTGAGGTAACCGAAGGTCATCAACTTTTTAAAAAAAGTCTGAACGTATTGGGTGAAATGCATAAATGGTACCTTAAGTATTGGTATTGTTGCATTTTGGTACCTTAACTCTTAAATCATGTTAGCCGACCCCAAAATCTTTTGGGAATAAGGCTTGGATGTTGTTGTTGTTGAATGATGAGGTGAAACAAGCCATAAGGAACAAAAGAGATTGCTACAAAAAGTTGGGGACAAATTGGAGTGATGAGAACATAGAAGCATACAGGGAGACTAAAAGACAAGCAAAGAAAGCCATAAGGGAAGCACGAGGGAAAGTGAACAAGGAGTTGTATGAAAAGTTGGACTCTAAGGAAGGAGAACTAGATATTTATAGACTTGCTCGTCTCCATGATCGCAGAACTCAAGATATTGCAAAAGTTAAGTGTGTGAAGGATGTTGATCAGAGGATATTAATGGACGACGGAGAGATAAAAGAGAGGTGGAGGTCATACTTTGATACACTATTCAACGGGAACAAAACGCAAGATATCGGCGATTTGTCCATACCAGATTGTATGGTAAACCGTGATTTTGTGAGAAGGATCCAAACAACGGAAGTTAAAGAAGCTCTGAGGAAGATGGGTCGGAAAAGAGCAATGGGACCAGATGGCATACCGATCGAGGCTTGGAGAAGTTTGGGAGAGAGACGTCGAGTGGTTAACAAGTTTCTTCAACATGATTTGGAGAAACAACAAGATGCCAACGAGTTGGAGGAAGAGTACTCTTATCCCTTTATTTAAGAATAAAGGTGATGTACAAGAATGTGCCAACTATCGAGGGATTAAGCTTATGAGTCACACCATGAAACTTTGGGAGCGAGTGATTGAGCAAAGACTTCAAAGGACTGTGAAGATTTCAGAGAATCAATTCGGTTTTATGTCTGGTCGCTCAACAACTGAGGCCATTCACCTTCTTCGGCAACTTATGGAGAAGTATAGAGATGCTCATAAGGATCTGCATTTGGTGTTCATTGACTTAGATAAGGCATATGATAGGGTACCTCGAGAAGTTCTTTGGTGGGCCTTAACTAGGAAAGGCATATCACGCAAGTATATCAGCATCATCATGGATATGTATGAGGATTGTACTACAAGTGTTCGTACTAGTGTAGGGAGGACTGAAGAGTTCCCTATTACTATCGGAGTGCACCAAGGATTGGCCTTGAGTCCTTTCTTATTTGCCATAGTCATGGATGAACTTACGAAGTCAATTCAAGATGATATACCGTGGTGCATGATGTTTGCCAACGATATTGTATTGATTGATGAGACGCAATGAGGTCTTAAAGCAAAGTTAGAAGTATGGCGACAAACATTGGAGAATAAGGGTTTCAAACTAAGTCGGAGCAAGACAGAGTACATGGAGTGCAAGTTTGGTGATGGTAGAAGTAGTGGTAATAGCGGAATTACTCTGGATGGTAAGGAGATACCAGTCAGCGATATGTTCCGTTACTTGGGCTCCATAATTCAGAGGGACGGTGAGTTAGATGGAGATGTATCCCATAGAATCAGAACAGGGTAGATGAAGTGGAAGAGTGCGTCAGGATTTCTATGCGACCGAGGTATGCCGACTAGACTGAAGGGTAAATTTTATAGGACAGCAATTAGGCCTGCATTACTGTATGGCGTAGAGTGTTGGGCGGTGAAACAATGTCACATTCAAAAGATGAGTGTGGCAGAGATGCGCATGCTACGTTGGATGTGTGGGCATACTAGGAAGGACCGCGTGAGGAATGAGACAATCAGACAAAGGGTGGGAGTAGCACCTATTGAAGACAAGATGCGGGAGTCGCGCCTACGGTGGTTTGGTCATGTGCGTAGAAGACCGAGTGATGCACCTGTTAGGCGAGTTGAGATGTGTGGAGAAGAGGCAGAGAAGAGAGGGAGAGGAAGACCCAAACAGACGTGGGTTAGGGGAGTTCGAAGTGATATGCTTCTTCTGGGGTTGGATGAGGGCATGACTTTGTAGAGAACTAAGTGGAGGGCGGGTATTCACGTGAAGGAGTGATCTTGATTATCTTTTTCCCTCATCTTTTTTTTTCCTAGTTTTTTTTATCCTTATATATATAAGCATTATTTGAAGCCTTTTTATTTTATCATTTCTATATATATTCATCTTTTTTTATATTATCTTTTCATAATAGCTTATCTTTTTATCTTTATTCCTTCTTTTCCTTTTGGTTGTGATATCATGTATCGATTCATGTTAGCCGACCCCAATATCTTTTGGGACTAAGGCTTGGATGTTGTTGTTGAACTCTTAAATGAATCAAAACAGTACTTTAACTATACATAAATGTTTCAACATGCAATATTATTCAAACTTCCGACCAAAAAATCAAATGTGGTGGCCGGAATTCCATGCGTAAAGTCTACTTCACCTTATTTTTGTCCATATGATCACTATATGGTGACTCTACACATGAAATTCTGATCGCTATGAAGGTTTTTTTGGACGCAAATTTGAATAAAATTTCAAGTTGAAACATTTATGTATAGTTTTGGTACTGATTTAATTCATTTAAGATTTAAGGTACCAAAACGCAACAATATCAATAGTTAAGGTACCATTTATGCATTTGACCCATATGAAGAGTCTTGCGTAAAAACCTGAAACATTTTTTAAAATAGTCTACCAAACACTTTAAACCTCAATCTTAATATTCGCCTTTGGGATAGTCATTCTTAAGATTTAGAGTGAACAACTATGATTGGGAGTAATAATTTATCCATATATACAATTTGCATTGTTTAGGCTAAATTTGGTATTACATCACAATTCGTGTTGCATGATTCGTTCAATAATAACTATAAAGCTTGAAACACACAGATGCTAAGCTTATAAAAAACCTTGGTCTGATAATTTCAGTGCCAGAGACGACGATTGATGATGCCCGCCCATGATACGCAATAGGAAGATGGAACCTGGAAATGATGAAATGAGTGGTCATCTACCAATAATCAAATGCATACCAGACATATTACCTCATAGATTTTCCTCTTGTGTGTGATATACGGCATATCAAGAGGGCATTCAGCTCTATACTAAAAATACTGCCAAGGCACAAAGGCTACAAAGGCTAGGCTTCCGTTGCAAATCTATGTTTTTGTTCCAAAGTTCGAACTGATCATGTCTAGTCAGGGTTAGTTACATATGTACATCTATCTCCCCACAATGTTTGGTCAAATTATCAAACAACCCTCAATGTTTTCAAAAAATACAAGTAAGCCCTTTTCTGGTAAGATTTTCCGCAAACGGCAGAGAAAGGTGCTAGCACAAAAAGATACCAATAATAGGTTGGTTTCCAGGTTAAATTTTCCACAATTTTCTCCCGGTTCTTTCTGTGGAAAAGCTTTAAATCTTTTAGTCCATTGAAGGCTTTGAACACCAAATCCAATATTGAGACACAGAATCATTCTTAATATCATTATATCCTATTAACTTTGTGTATTAAAATGAGTATTTTGCAAAAAACAGATTAATAAAGAGGCTTATTTGTCAATTTCAAAGCCATCTGACTCTCTGAGGGTCATTTTGTAAATTGACTTAACCTCAGTGAGACACCATGTTCAATAAAAAGACAGAGAGTCCATATTAATATCATTTTATTCTATAGCCTTTGTGTGCTAAATTATGTTGTTTGCAGAAAAATTGATTAACTTTGTGGGTCACTTCGTAATATGTGTATATGACTAAAGCTCGGGGTAGATAAATGCAATTAACATTGTTTAACCCCTAACCTAGCATATGCTCCACCTCATCCCTGCCTAAGCGCTAGGCTGTTGCTTGTCTAGGTCTAAATCTGACCCCTTTTGGAACATATGTATTCAATACGTTTCTCAATAGTTATCTGAATAATAGCATGAACTTTTGAAAATTACTTCAAAGTTCCATACCAGTTACTGTTGATTGGGGTCTCTGGACCTCGGAATATGGTACCACAATTTTTGGCGTGATGCATGGATGAAAAGAAGTCTGTGTAGTCTCCAACTGCTACAGGAAGAACCATTTCCACCTTGTCCTAAATCACATCAAGTTATCAACATAAACAAAACTATAAGCAACACCTGGTTCCTAGGTTTCTTCATCATGAATCATCAGCATATACTATATAGTCACACATCTAAGTAAGTCTAACCATGGGGATAAGAGCTTTGTGCCTTAAACTTGCATTGTCACGCAATTTCGGATCAGTGGCTGAATGAAAAAAAAATCAAAACATTACATTTGAGAAAAGGTAACAGAACTTCATTTGCACCAAAACATTATATTTTAAACAGGATCAGATTGCAGAACATCTCGCTTCTTTTATCCCTAATTGTTCTCCTGCTTTCGTTTTTCCTATGCCCCTAAATTATCGCCCCAATTTCTTTCTATGTACATCCTTAAGTTACATTTCATTTCTTTTAAGCAAAATAATAGTGGCTCATGTTATTTTTTAGTAAAGGAACATTATTTATTGATGATGAGATTAAAGTTCAGAGCCTCTGCTAAGAAATTAAAGGGAACACTCAACCAAGACTTACACCCTGACATAGAATTAGCTTCCTCTGCCAGAACATAGAAGATAGATAATAAGTAGTTTGAAGGAGACACATATGACTCCCTTATGGAGCCCCTCATGGAGTCATATGGTCTATTGTGGCATCATCACCACCACGCAATTATTTAGTGGTGAGGATGATGCCACTATAGACCATAGTATGACTCCATAAGAGAGTCATATGTGTCTCCTTAAAATTTTTGGAGATAATATACGGTTCATGCTATTGCAAGATTTTCTGAATGAGTCTCGAATAGAAGTTAGAACATACATGGTGTTCATTTTATTAAATCTCGCGCCTCATCATGGTGTTACTCTAATTTCTTTCTTCTTCTTCCTTTTTTTAAGAAAAGTGGATACCTGATAGTATCGTTTGCAATGTTTCACGAGCTTCCTTCCATGCAGAGCGTCCCAAATGCAAAAACTTGTTAAGATTAGGCTGCAAAAAAACTTAAACAGATTAGCGGTGAAGTTTCATCAGCTGAGTACTCTATCACAATCACGCTTGAAGCATCAACCCCATAAACTCACTACATTCCACTACATATTTATGCAAAATAGTGAAATTGGCTTCCATCTATGAATTGGCTCGAGTAGTCGAATTGCAATATTGGTTTTAAACATTAAACAATTTTTTGAATGATATTGAACACCAAGTATGAGCATACAAATACAATACTCCGATCAAAAAAACGGAGTAATCTGCCTGAGGAAAAGGACAGACCTGATTGAAGCAGTCAGAAGACTTCAAACAAGGCCCATCAAAAAGACCTGCGGCGGCTATCACGGAAAGGTCCAAAACGTAGTCTCCTATAGCGACACCAGGCCGAGCGTCGGAAGCGGGTTCAGGCTTGAAAACACCGAAGGGGAGGTTCTCGAGTGGAAAGTGAGAGTCGGGCTTGACTTCAACAAAGGATTTCAGGGCCATAGCTTTAGAGTGACGGATTCCGGTCAGGCGTGGGCGAGGCAAAGATATGATATAAGCAGTGAAGCAGTGACGTGAGCAATAAATAGAGAGAGGGTGTTTGCTGTAGAGTGGACCACTCTCTTTTCCTTCTCCATCACTCACTCCTTTATTACTCCGTATTTTATGCTTAAGTTTACTTGATTAGTAACAATCACTGCTAAAGTAGCCAAACGTGCCCGTTACTAATAGGGAAAAAAAGAGACCAAATAAAAATGTCTATTTATAGTAAAAATGTCTATAGATTGGGATCGGTTCCATAGATACTCAATAGTCAAGACTAGGACTAGGAGTGGGCATGGTTGGTTAACCGTATTTCGGTTAACCAATTTATGGTTAACCAATTTATGGTTAACCGAAATATCAGTTAATATGTTTATGATATCAGTAATCGTACCATAATGACGGTTAACCGGGTAATAATTAATCATCTCATAGGTTAACCGTTAATCGGTTAACCAAAAAATCGTATATACAAAGTATATGAATAAACTACTAACTAGATTCGTTTTAATATTTCCGTATGAATAACGCCCTATACTAAATTACGTTACAGACGTAGTAAATTACGTATATGCAGTATTGTGGTTATCAGAATAACTTTTTTACCAACTGGAAGTTTACTACAATATATAATACTACATACGGAGTACGTATTACGAAGAATTTATACGGAGTACGTGATATGCTTCAACTGTGATTCAATATGTACTCGTACTGTCTCGTAGTGTATAACTAAAAAAGTTAGATTTGAAACATACGTTTCAGAAAGTTGAGAAAATTTCTTGTAAGGTGCAATACCATATTCTTTGAATCTAAAATGAAATTTTAAATATAAAATCCGAAAATAAAATTAAGTATTAAATCTAAGATGCAATACCATATATATACTCCGTAAATTTATAAATAAATATGGACAAGGAGTTAATATTGAATATAAAACAGGGAGTTTTATGAACTCACATTGGATAAATAAGCAAAACGTGTGTATGAATTTGGGAGCAATATATTAACTTTGGATTAGTGGTTAACCGGCGGTATTTAATTTCAAAACCGTAACCGTATAGTAAAACGTTTTTTCTGTCGGTTGGTTAACCGTCCCGCAAGATTTAAAAAACACGGTATGGTTAACCAAAACAAACACCGGTTTTTCGGTTATTTAACGCGGTTAATCGGTTACGGTTTTTTTCGCCCGCCCCTAGTCAAGACCCAATTGTCCCGACCTATGGGGTAGATTAACGGGTATGGGTAGAGAATACTCTTGTTTTTACAAATAATAATGAGAGGGTTGCGGTTTTAGACGTGTCCACCTTATTACTCGTTTCATACCTGACTCATTTATTTTATATTACCGGTGGGCGTAGCTCAACTGGTAGCAAGGGAGTGCCACAAGAGTTAGATCCCGGGTTCGAATCCCGACAACTGCGATGAGGGGTTACTATGCTAAAAATGCATAGGACCTCTGCAAGTACCGGGACAGAGCCTCACTCTCTATCTGTCAGATTGGGATTATAATCCAATTTACATCCTCCCAACGTACTGTCCGGTCGGGGTTGGGGGCCCTCAGGGATGGGGTGTCATCCTTTTTTTCATTTATTTTTATTTTTATTTTGATTACACTTTATCTATTACTGCCTCCGTCCCAAATTGATTTGCACATTTGACTTTTCTTGGTCAAACAGTTTCATTTTGTTGGCTTAATTAGGATGTCAATTAGTAATTACTCCCTCCGTTCCTAAATAAACTTCCAACTTTCCTTTTTCGTCTGTTCCAATAAAAACTTCCACTTTCCCTTTTTAGTAAAGAATTTGTGGTTCACAACATTTCTTACACATTTCTCTCTCCTCTGCACAATTATCCACCACACAATACCCACTATCTTAAACTGTGTGTCAAACCTATTTGGAAGTTTTAATAGGAATGGAGGTAGTATATTATAATTTGAGGTTTGCAACATTGGAAAGATTTTAATGTAGTTTCTGAATATGTAAATTTTAATGATTAAAAATTGAATAATTTATCGATATGGAGCATTGACTTTTATTATTAGTTGACTAAAAAATGTTGACTTTGCAAACCAGTTTGAGATGGAGGGAGTATTTGTCCCACAACTAGTAAAAAATAAGATTTTTCTCTTTTCATTGTGTGTATATGGATAATGAATATACTAATTATAGTGTATGAATAAAAGATCATTTTCTCTTTAATTTGATACATGAGTTCCTGCGAATTGATAGAACTCCTATTACCCCAAATCATACCCGAGTAGGCTTTCCAAATATGCCATGTTATAATACCCGCCAGATTTTTCTTTAAAATGTCACAAATATTTTTGTTTTCTGCTAAAACAAATCGAAACGAAGGGCCCAACCGTGGTTGTATTTTCTACACGATTATATTTTTCGGTTGACGTTATGCGTCTCAATTTGATCCATTTTTAGTATGTTTTTCGCCCTCTATGAACATTTAATCTCTAACTTGACTATTTATTTGATGGATCGCCGATCCTGGGGTAGCCGGAATCCGAGAAAATGTGGGAGAGAACACGGGAAAAATGCTAAGTAAAACTGAGTGTTTCGGTAGCGTAACAGCAAGTTTGCACACAGATTTTTTCCTCATCTCATCCACATGTTGGAAGGTGATATTTATACTAAAACGGTAATGCTTGGTGCTCAGGTAAACAAGATGCTATTCTATTGTGGTGAGGACACATGCCCTGCTTATCTAACAAAATAATCAAACTAGTCCAGTAATGTGTTGACACGTGTAAAGATGATTGCAGAGATAATTGAGACAGCTGGCTGATTGGGACTGCGTGTAACAAACTTATACCGGAACACATGTGCGGATTACACATGTATTACACATGATATTCTTCATCTTATCTGCTTGGGATGACGTGACACTTTGTATAGTGTTGGTGATGTGGCGACAGCTTGTGTGGTACTTGATTTCGTGAATTGCCCAAGTCCATACAATACTGGTGAGACACTGAGACCCCGAGCTCCTGGAGGTCAGAGCTCGGGAAGCTTGAGCTCATATTGGAGGATTTATCTTTGGTCCTCGGTTTTGTCTGGTAGCGGTGATTCTTCTGTTGACTTTCCAGATTACTCTGGTTGACTTTGCATCAGTAGCATAGGTCGGAGCTGGTGCCGACCTTAGCGCGCCCGAGGTCGGCCTCATATTTTGCTTTATCTGGGCGATCTTCGAGCTCGGTGTTCATGCCGACCTCGGAGGGTCGAGGTCGGCCTCGGCTCGATACGTTGTCTCACATCCTTTCTCGACCTCAGGTGTCGAGGTCGGCCTCGGGTGTAACTTCCGTGTTTGAGTGTTTTGAGATGTTTGGGAGCCTTTTTGTTCATCGATTTTGGTACCTCTAGGGTGTATGAGAATATACTCCATCATTATTACTAATTGTTATAGTTGTTCAAATTTTCTTTTAGAAATTTTGAAAGATAAAATCACTACAAGAAAATTCTTTTTGGACAACAAATTAAATTTGTATGGGCAACACATATTCAGTCGTTGCTTTTGTATTATCTTAAGGCAACAAGTAGATACATTTGTTGCACAAAAAAAAGTTTGGGCTAGCATTTCAAATTTCATAGCATAAAGGGTAAATTTATTCACAGACCCATTTTACTAAACACAGCCATTATGGTTAAATTTAATAAATGAAATAATAAATTGTCCAATTATATTATATACCATTTTCCTCTCAACAGCTTCAAATTTCATGTGTTCTTTTTCTCACTGCCTTTCAAATTATTCAAACTCGTCTTCACCCTCAAGCTTAGAATAGATTTCTTATTACCTTGTAAGTATTACCTCAAAGGTATTGTATGTGAACAAAGTTGAATTGTGGTAAACTTCATAAGATATAGTAGGAGAGTATGAGAGCAATAAATTATGATAGAGTATCGTAGTTGTCCTTCAAAAGAAGATTTTCAAGGCCACGATCGAATAATTTGATAAAAGGGCTCTTCTTTAAGTTCTTTTCGATCACTTAATACTCCTTTACGTAAAAATTCAGCTTCAGATACGTTTTACTTGAGCATGATTTTCACAACACCTCTTCTCATGAATTATTATCAAGATCGGTCAAGCTGGAGTCACAACTCATGAATTTTTATCAAGCTCAAGCTCGACTCAGTTCGTTTTCACTTGGCTCAAGAATACACATGTTTGAGCTCGATTCGGTTCGTTTGCATCCTAGTCAGATGCTTTTGTTTGAATTGAAAATTCCTGGTCTGATCTGTTATGATCTGTGTCATTCTTATATATTTAACTTTGGTTTAATCTGAACTAGTCTGATATGGTGAGTGTATGATTTCTGTGTATTTTACAACAACGTAAGTCTAGTATGGTCTGTTAAAATATAATATGATTTGCTCCATTGTAAATTTGATCTGATCTTATTTGATCTTTTGTGCGACTAAAATACGTCTTAAGTAGAAAATAAAATATACTCATTATCAAAAGTGATCAAGTTTGGGGCTGTTAACGAACTGAGCTTTTATCGAACTATTCGAGTTTGAGCTCAGTTCCGAACCTAACGAGCTGATCAGCTTAATGAGCTTTCGAACTCAAACCCGAGCTGAGTTTTAAGTTCAAAAAATTAATCGATCTGAGCTCGAACATAGTAGTATTCGATTCGGTTCAAGCTCGAGCCTATCGAACACCCTGAAATTATAAATATAATTTATGTAAAAATTTAAATATAATTAGTATGTTTTTATGAATTTAAATATGATTACTAACGAACCGAATACTTGTCGAATAATTCGAGCACATGCCTATAAACAAGCATCACCTAAAATTTTAAATTCTAGCATATTTATCGAGCTTTTCGAGCGCTCGGATCGAACACCGAATGTCTATTTGATACGCTGCCGCCACGCCGTAGCACACGTGAACGCATGTTGAACTCCAAGTTTTACGACGATAACACTTATGTTAATTGTCTACACGCATGGACTGATAGAGCTGGGAAGTAATGCACGTGGAGGACTGCCAGCATCTTGCAGGACTTAGCATAAATTATTTTTATTTTAATTATTTCTTCCTTTCCTTTTAGTAAGTGTTGGTTATTATCCTATTCTCTTGGCTATCAATAAGGGAGAGTGTGTGGGTGGTTCTGTCCACCTTTCACGTAGTAAGTGATCTTTAATATTTGAAGTTG